TTGTTTATTCCTGATAATTATTGTGCGGTCGCTTAATTAATGCAAAAAAAAAAAAAATTCGTTTTAGGCTTGGCATGAAAATTTCTTTGATATCGATTATATTGCATACGCATTTCACAACCAAAAACGGGCGGTTTGTCAAAGCCATTACCCAGTAGAGATGCTTTGCATGAACTGAGGAATCTTCCTTTTAATTTGATCAATATGAATAAAATCGCTAATTTTCACTGCATCAAATTTTTAGATTGGTTAAAGTTCTGGTGTGAAGCAACTTCTGTAACGCTTTGATACCAGTTGTCCTCAGACAGCAGATCAGCTTCAGTTTTCGGAACTGGGGTTCAATAAATCAAGTTTCGTTATGAGAAAACTTAATTGTTGTTCCGGTTCCAGCATAACGCCTAGAACTATAGATGAAGAGGACGTGTATCGTATAGGATATTCTCCTTTCTCCAGTCTTTACGCATGGCAAGTTTTCCCGCGACAGGATGTTATGAATGACGACATTTTTATGCGGGATCGTAGATCTAATAAATTATGTAAAGAGGACAAGAAAAAGAAAATGAAAAAGAAAAAGTTGATAATCGATTATTTTGTCGCTGATCATCCACAACTGTCCATAACTGACAAAACTACATATGATGATGTGAAACATGATTCACTTATTTACTCAGATTCTGTTGATCTCATATTGCACGCTTATGAAAATAAACCTTATGACTGTGAATTGCAGCCTTCAAAAACGCTGTCAAGTGGGAGGGAGTGTAGTGTAGATGATAAAGCGACGAACTTGCAACAGATCCATGGCAATAATGCCGATGAGAATAATCAAGGATTAGAGGATGATTTTGAGTCTCAAATCTCTATACTTGGGTTACACCAACGTTTTGTGGAAGATTTCCGGCTTATTCCAAATGAAATAAGACTTCACAGAGATAATGAAGATTGGATAATAACATTTTTAGAAAACAACTTTTGTGCTATAGACGATAATGTCAAAAAAAACCTTAGCGAAAGTCTTCTGCTTAAGATTGGATTCGAAGAAAACAGCAAAGTGATGAGAACCATATTGCAACAATCGAAGCTACTACGGCCCAATCATGTTGAACCAATAGACTTTATAAAGCGTTTTGTGGCAGACCAATTCAGATACAACCCTGATCTATCGCACTATTGCCACTTGCATAAAGAAGGATACAAATTGGATCAGAAGGATCGAATGGAAAGTTCCTCCGTCCGTACTNGAATAGAAGTATCGGGGGGGAGTCAACTTTTACTTGTTTTCAATTGTGGGGGGGGTTGTAGATCAAATATGACGATCCTTCTCGGGGGGGAGATTTTGCGTCTTACAAACCAATATATGGGGGGGAACAAACACCAAGAATAACAATCCAACTGGGGGGGTTATCATAACATTTATGTTGAAAATGAGGGGGGGGCTTTTTTTTAGTTGTTTACAATATTCACGCAGATCAAGAGATTCATACTTGGAAGCTGAAAATGGGGGGGATCCATATTTCATTTCGATGAATACACAGGGGGGGAAAGCGTGGATTTCACTAGCGCATAAGCGGGGGGGAGGCACAAGCATGAGAATCATATGTGCCGGGGGGGACAGTCTTGACATAAGCATAAGACATTGAGCATGCGCACGAGCGTATTATTTCGGTACTAGGCGGGGGGGATGCCTATGCAGTCCCGTTCTCACTGAGGGGGGGGATGAGATAAGCACAAGAAGATCAAGCCTGGGGGGGTTTTTTTTGTGCTCATGCTTATGCTTATGGGGGGGCCGTATGCCTATGCGTATGCCTTATGCCGGGGGGGATTCGCTAGTAAAATCCACGCTTAAGTGGGGGGGGTGGCCCACGACAACTGTATACTGACGCAGGGGGGGAAAATTCGCTATTGATCTCCTCATTATGGGGGGGGTGAAAATATTTTGAGTTCAAAGTACACTGGGGGGGTTGTCTAGCTTCCGAGAACTGCCAGTGTGGGGGGGGTCCATCCACTCACTTCAAACATATCCAGGGGGGGTTATCATAGTTATATTGTGCATAATTGAGGGGGGGAGTTATGGGCCTAGCTACGTTTCTGTTTGGGGGGGTTGGTATGGCGCTACGATCAAATTTCTGGGGGGGGGCAATAGGGAGCGACATGCATGTACAACGGGGGGGATTAGAGATCGGAGCATAGTTTTTTTTGGGGGGGGAATAAAGAATGATGTTGATATTTGCCAAGGGGGGGAAAAACCCTCAACTTTGACTCCTGCTAAGGGGGGGTGAAGTGAAACACGACCGACTAGAAAGTGGGGGGGGACATTCTATTACCAGGAGAAACAGCATGGGGGGGAAAACCTTCCACTACTAGAAACTCTGATGGGGGGGACCTCAGGGATGACCTGCTTACTACAACGGGGGGGTCCAGTTTTCAGTCAACTAGTATGCTCAGGGGGGGTGGAAGAAACATATCCCCCTCACAGCCCGGGGGGGATGCAATTTAAATAACTATATAGGTAGGGGGGGGGTTGCAGCACAATAAAGGTTCAAGCTGTGCGAGTCTAAACTTTCGAACATCCATTTTAATGTACGGGGGGGTCATAGAGAGAGAACTTGCAGAGACTCAGGGGGGGAGAAATTTGGAGCGAGACTTGCGACAAGGGGGGGGCTACTTGGATTTTGTAACAAACACAGGAGGGGGGGAATGGGCATGCAACCGTTGCCACAAAAAGGGGGGGTGTGCAAAAGATGA